GCCAGTTATTTTAATTAAGAAAGCTTATTAAGCCCTAACCGGTTTGGATCAGTGGATAGAGCGTCAGCCTGGGGACTGAAGGGTCTCAGGTTCGATTCTGGACAAGGGCATGTACCGTGGTTTTGGGCACATCCCCAGTAGGGAGTGTGTAGAAGGCAGCTAAATCCATGTTTCTCTCTCATTGATGTTTCTAACTCTCTGTCCCTCTCCCTCTCCATTCCTCTCTGTGGGGGAAAAAAAAAAAGCCAATTAATAGTTATGAGTTTAATTTATTGGAGAGGAGAAAGTAGCATTTAAGAAACTGATTTAAAAGAAGGCTGAAATGTTTTTGCTTGGATTGTTAGGTCTTTGGAAATTTAGCTATAGGTCTCAGAGACAGTAATCTTTTGGAGAAGGTAATGTTATTGCCACCAGTTTATTTTTCTCCTTTAAATTTCTTCTTTATAAATTCATGTAGTTCATCTAACTCAGCTAAGTTGTAACTTTAACACTGGCTAGACTAGAATTGGCTGAGATGACCATAAAAGTAGCAACAAATAAGAGTGAATTGAAATGAAAATTCAGCTGTCAGTCCTTCGGGAAGCTATGGTCTCAGTGGGGAGTCAAGTAACATGTATTTTACTAGTTCTGTAATGTGTGTGGTCCATAGGGAGGGCAGAGGAGGAAAACTTGTTTTCGGTCTGGGAAGATGTCAGGGAGGAGGTGTAATAGTTGAGGTGCGATTAGAAAGTTGAGTTGGGTGTGCAAGGGAAACAAACTGGACATGGCATTCTAAGGAGAGGAACCTGAATAAGGAAAGACTTGGTGATGGGTTTGGGGAGTCACAGAGTAGAGCTCAGCATTTCCAGAGCATAAAATAAAATAAAAAGGAGAATGGTGGTAAAAATGTCCCAAATGAGACAAGGGGATCAATCTAGGATCCTTCCAAAATGTCTGGCTTGGAGGGGCAATGCTGCGGCTGTTCGCTGAGATGAGGACACAGGGAGGCATTAGATTGAGAAGTTGGTGAAGTTAGTGTTAGATGCTGTGTTTGAGGCATGTAGGGACCATGTAGGTGAAAATGTCTAGTGGGGTTTAAGGATATATAGTTCTGGGGTGCAGAGGAGAGTATTGGGCTAGAAATTCAGATTTGGTCATCTCTGCCCTTATGGTTGTGAGTTTCAAGGTTATAGATAGAAGAGTCATTGAGCCAAAAGAGGGTCATCCAAGAATCGCCAACATTTTAAGGTCTGATTGAAAAGAGATGATCCAGCAAAGGACCCAGAGTTAGTAGGAGAATCATTAAAACATTAAAAAAATTAAAAAAATATCCTTGTTATTTTGTACTATTATTTAGAAATTAAAGCAAAATAATGACAAAATCAAGTTAACAATAATTTAAAATATGCTCACTCAAATTACACTTGCTTATTTTCTTTGTGAAATAAGGAAATGTGGCCTCTTTTGGTACTTATTGGCCTGAATGCATAAATGAAGATAGTGGATGTTTGAATAAATATATATTTACAAGGTTGTAACTACTGCTGCTTTGGAAGGACTGAGGAGTTGGTGAAGAGTAATTGAGAATTGTGGGGTATAAGGTTTTAAAATGTGACCATGAAAAACATACTGACATTTTCTAATTTCACCTCAACTATTATACCAGTCATCAATTTATAGACAAAATAAATTCTGGAAGGTTCCAATATTTACATGTAAAATAAAATTGCAAAGCATATTAGACGACAGTATGATGACAATTCTAAAAATTTTGGTGTGGCTAAAGTCTTAACAGGAAGGCATAATTCATAAAGGGGAAGATTAGTGGACTTAATTGCAGAAAAATAAAGTATAGGGTCTTAGATACTGTGAATAAAATAGAAAAACAACTAGCTAACTTTGGGGAAATATTTGCAGTGTGTATAAGAACATACAACATGTGGTCATGATGTAGATGACTCAAGTGATCAGAGGTTCAGGAGAGTACAAGGAACTGCTGAGGAGGCCATTGTTTTTAGCCGAGGATTTTCGGAAGTCACACCACCATGGACATCAAAATCCCTGAGGGTATGGAGGAATTGTGGTGGAGTGAAACTCAGTGGCATAGCTTTTGGGGTTCTTAAAGAGACATCTAGGAGTAATCAGACCCATGGGTGGTATTGATAAGGCATCCTATATAATAAAAAGCTGATAATAAAAAGGTGGAACAACTGGTCACTATGATGTTCACTGACCACCATGGGTCATCCTTTCAGCACAGGAGGAGGAGAGCTGCTCAGCCAAAAGCCGGGCTCACGGCTGGCAAGCACAGCAGCTGTGGGAGGAGCCTCTCCTGCCTCAGTGGCGTTGCTAAGGATGTCTGACTGCTGGCTTAGGACAGCCGGACATCCCCCAAAGGACCCCTGGACTGCAAGAAGGTGCAGGTTGGGTTGAGGGACCCCCCTGAGTGCACAATTTTCGTGCACCGGGCGTCTAGTTGAGTAGATAATAACGTAAATGGAATACATGGCCCTCAAAGGATATGATATTAACACAGTATTTGTGAACATTATTGAACCTTTCAATTCTTCTGGAGCTATAAACAAATCTGAAGGTTTGATGAAAATGTGAAAATGATTTTGGAAGTCTTTTCATATGTTATTTGAAGCCATTTGGTTTGGAGATTCCAAAGTCACCAGTCAGAAACGGGTTTAGAGCTTTAACTTTTCTTTCTAACATTACAAGATGGGTATACACTGCATTTGAGCTATGTAGTTTAATCTTGGGGTTTTTCAGGCTCAGTGCACAGCTTTTATATACCGGTAGATACCCTGAAGTGTGAACTTTTGTCTTTTTTGCAATGAAGAATTGCCACCATGAAGACATTCCAGTATAATCTCATTTCTGAAGTGACTACGTGATTAACTGGGAATACTTCTCTAGATAGGGAGACTGAGATATGGGCTAAAGTTAAATTCTACATGTAATAACACTCTAGTGATAAAAAGGTAGATGCTGAGGTTTGGTAGTAAGACGGAGAAGGTGGTTTAAAACTTATGGAAAAGCTATTTAAAATGGGAACACACCTATACCTCATTAACACACCCAACACATATTTAGGATGACTGTCCTCTGCCAGGCACTGCCTGCCTAGGAATAGGCACAGAGGGCTTATGTGCCAAGCATGACACTACACGACTTCCATGGACTATTTCATTAAATCCTCACAACAGCCCCTCACGTAGGAATGATCACCCCATTTTACAGGAGAGGAGATAGAGGCGTAGAGTTTTTGAGTGATTTCCCCACCGTCACATGGCAATTAAAAACGATGGAGGTACCTGCTTTTGAATCTAAGGCTACTTGGTGGCAGAGCCTGATTGAGCACTTCAACACTGGGCTCTTTTTAAACCGGAAGGAGGGACATCACTGAGCATTCACTATGGTATTAGGTGCCAGGCTTTGTAACACACGTAAGAATCCTCAAGGTAAGTTTCATTTATCATCATCTCGGTTTACCCCAGTCCTGTGTGCTCTCCCCAGTGATTAGCCGGTTTGGCTGCAGCCTGTGGTAGATTCTGTTCTCTTGTTAGACATCCACGCCAGTTTAATAGTACTCATAGGGTGACGTTGTAAGCTTAAGCAATTTAGAAAAATCCTTACTGTAACAATATGGAGAGGATATTCCTCTCCAGGTCCATTGTGTTTTATGCACCTCATTTTTATTCCTTTTTCCATTATACTTTTCATATTCCTTTGGTTTCTATAGTCAAGATTTGTAAATATTAAAACTTGTTTTACACTTAAAAAATAAAAGAACAACCCCAAACTAGTGAAGTATATTTTGAAATTCTGAGACTGCTTAAAGCATTTCAGTGGCACTGAGTTTTATTTTTGATGTGTGGACTTTTAATTAGGAATAGGAAAACCCATTTACAAAAAGAAAAAAAAAGTTTACATGTGAAATAGTCTGGGTAATAAGACCATGTCAGTTTTATTCATGTAAAATTGAGCATTAGGTTAATCATTAATATTTTAGTGGAAATGTGTTAGTTTGCCTTCTCTTTTCCCATCTCCCTCTCCTTCTTTTTTTTTTTTTTTTAACCTCTGTTTTCATTTTAGTCTATTATCTTTTTTACCAAACCAGTATCAGGCAGTTATTGTTTAATTGGATTGAATTGACACGTACATTCCTGTTTGTGATGGCATTGTCAGGCCTTTCCCAAAAGGAGAAGTAGATTGTGTGCTAGGTAACTGGGTGTTGCTGTTCACTTGTGCTGTATGTACCGCGAAGGAGGAGGGGAAATTAAGGTGTAAAATACAAGTCTTTCTCTAAAGGACTAGGGAGTACACACTAAATATATCTTTAATTAAGAGAACCAGGAAATAATAACAGGTTAAAAAATTTCAATCTATAAATTGGGGTTCTGGTTTACTATTTCATTCTTAAGTGACAAAAATGATTCACTGAGCCATATTTTTCAGGGCTGGTGAAATAGAAGTAGCCAAGGGTTTTATATCTGTTCATTACAGCCTGTAACTTTATTACCCAGGCGTCTCAAATGATCTAGTATGTAGGATCTAGTTGTTAGCACTTCTTGTTTGAATTTTAATTTGTTGCCTTTAAAATCTTCTTGTAGGGCCAGGCTAGTTCTACCTTAAAAAAAAACCAACACACCCCTCTACTTAAAAGAAATGGTACTTCCTGCTTTCATAAACAGTCATGTGCATAGTTTAGCAAGGCCTGATGCCTCTGGAGCGTTTTCCCTTTATAGCACCATTGAATCCCAGTCCTAGCAGAAGTGCTGCGAATCTTGTGGCCTCATTTTGAACAAAAGGGATTAGAGAAGAAAAATCTCTTGATATAAGGCTTGAAAGCAAGGACAGGCAATCTTGGTTGTGAATATTTTCTGATTTTTCCAGAAATCAAGCAGAAGATTGAGCTGCTGATGTCAGTTAACTCTGAGAAGTCGTCCTCTTCAGAAAGGTACAGCTACATCTCTTGCATGAACAATTAACAGTGTAGCATTGCTAAGAAGCAAACCAGGGCATTTTCTTTTCTTGTTAAGTTTGCTATATAATGTGTTGTGCTGCATGCCGGTCGTTGTGCTGTATTGAAGATGTGTCTTTGGGCAGGCTGTTCTGCTTTTACAAAGGGTAATTGATTTAAAAAAAATAGTGAAGCCTAATTAGCTGCAGCATGCACACCATAACACAGCAGACCACGGGTTCCTGTGTGACAGCTGTTGAAGGCTTTAAAAATAATTTACTTAGCTAAAAAACAAACAAATTGTGCTTGCTTTAAGGAAATGATAGCATTAGATTTTTTCCCCTGTATTCCGACGTTGCTGTAACACAAAATTACCGACACTATCTATAAGATCTAGGTTAAAAACATTTGATCTTGGCTGTAATAAACATTTTATTATGTGAAAAGGGAGTGCCATTTGTAAATAGCTTAGGAATTGCAAACCCCCAGATTAGTCACATTCTGAGAGAGAGATATGATGCTTCTTCAAGTCTGTGCTAGGAAATGGAACAGTCACTGCATGCAGTAATGGTTCATGCCTGCAGGTAAGGACAAAATGACTCAAGTATTTTTTAAGCAATTATTTTATATGTCAGTCAAATTACTGTACCTGTAAGGCGATATTTCCTTAAAATGGCTATTTACTTAATACATAGAAGTAAAGGTATTTTTTTTATCTCAAGTCAGAAATGAGGCTGTAGTTGCCTATGTTGCTATGTAAATATTGTGTTCACTACGGTCTACCAAAATTTTGTATACTACATAATGTTTTAAATTGGGGTTTTTGGGTAGATACCTTGATGCTTACCTTTTTCTTGTCAACCTAATAATAGTTTAGACCTAATGTTGATATTTTTGGAGTGTTCGTTTTTCTTTTCTGTGGTTTTCAGGGCTATCTTTTTTGTTCATAAATGTAATATTTAGGAAAACATGATGGAGAAATAATTTGGTAGTAAGTAATGATATAGGAAAAACTCTGGGAGAAAAATATGTGAAGAACCTAACATGGTAAAAGGGATTTAATTAAAGTAAACTAGTGTATGGAGGACATGATCCGATGACAAAATGATGACGTTAAATCGATTTATTAGTATAATTAAGTGAAAGTCTCCTGGCTATAATTCAGGGCTTTGCAAATATGGAAGATGTTACTGCTTTCTTTAGAGATTGAAAATAGAAAAATTTAGGGCACATTTTGTTTATTTTTATGTAGCTTTTAACTTCTGGTTTGGGCTAGTCATCCGTTTTTAAGTATTCTGTTTGCTGAGATGAAAATAATCTTCAGCCTTGTGAATGCTGTGCCAGTAAAATGGTGGTGATGGGAAGGGGAGAGAGTGGTGTAAATAGTGAACGGTCTGGGTGCTAACTGTAACCTTTGAGTTTTGTTACTAAGAAGAGCATTCTTAATGAGATGACAGCAATAATTATGTTGGCTTTTTGAGAAGCATGAATTCTCTATTGATAAATTGAGGGTTGAACAGAATGGGCTCAAATTGTTGAGAAATTAGGAATGGATGAGGTTTTTAATGGTTAAATACATTTTATACGGGAAAATTCTAAAATATTTTGGTGATCATTTTTACTTGTTTATTTTATTATTTTTAATTTTTTTTTAACCTAAGCTCCTGTGGTTAAATTTGATGGAAAGGGAGGATGCATGTGGCCATGATTTTAAAGTTCAGAAATCAGCTGCATGCTTTTAACAACTTTATACAGAGTTTTCCAGAGCTTGCTTGTTTTGTTGTTATTCTTCCTTTGCTTGATATTTCAGATATCTGACACATAATATTTTTAAGTTAAGATATGCTGACTTAATGGGTGGTAAATGTGGTTTATGGGTCAGCATAACATAGAAATTGTTTTAGTAATATATATTAAAAATAGAAGTCACTCTTTTTCTTCCTCCATTTTTAAAGTCATACAATTATTAATAGCCAAAGTCTTTTTAATTTGTTTGTTTTGGAAGAACTTGAAAAACACGAATCCATGTTAAAAAGAAAATTATGGCCTAGTAACACTATATAAAATTATGCCCAGGAGTTTAATAGCTTGTAGTGTCATGTAGCAATACCATCACATTCTTTAATTCCTTGTTTACCAGTTACCTAAAATTTAAACGTCTTTGACTAGTGTTTTAAAAAAGTTACTTGCTTGAGGCATGACTAAGTCGTAAAGACATTTGGAATTTACGGATGGTCAGTATTACCATGTATTTATTAGTGGGAAGGATGAAGAAGGAAACCCAGTCTTCTTTCTTTAAAAATAGGAAAGCTACTTGGTTTGTAAGGAACCAAGTTATCATTCACCACAACGGATTTTGCTCATTGTGTGCAGCACAAAGTGATCTTTGGATATTTCAGGGAACAAGTGGAGAAACAATACTCTAACAACAGTTACGTGGTGTTCCTAACAATTTTCCCATGCCTTATAGGTGAAACCCCCCCACCCCCTTAATGGGAATGTCTAGTCTTATAACAGCTAGTATTCATTGAATTATTGTTTTTCCAGACAATTTTGTGAAAACCAAAACAACAAAAAAGAAATAACTTATTTTTGTAGACTCTTAAGTATCTTTCATTGAAAAATACAAATATGATTTGAAGTAATGTGATAATGGAATTTTGAAGGTTTTTATGGGGGGGCCTAGATTAGGAAATGTTAAAATAACAGTTTTCAATGCCACCATGAAATTTAAAATTATATATTTACCTTTGACGGAATAGTGGAGGTCCCAACGAATGTCATTTTGTAGGGGAGGCATGGAATACTAATGTTCTGTTTAGAATGGCCGACTCAGGACAAAAGCCAATGGAATAAAAAAGGTTACTTTTATAGTTTTATATTTTGGAGAGAAATGAAAATCTCAGCTTAAGCATTTTTAAAATTAGGGGCAGAGAATGTTATTGAATGAATTAAAAAAATATGATGGCTGATTTGTATGTTATTGCCAGGTAAAAGAAAGGCATATCTGTTTCAAGAGAGTATCCTTCTTACAGATTTTAAGAATAAATTTTACTACTAGTGTTTTGTTTTTAATTGAGTGCCTGTTGAATGAAGAAGCACTGTATTCATCTTAAATATAGTAGGGACAGAGCCATGTACAGTTTTATTTCCTCATCTACCCCATTTAATGTAAAAAAAAAAAGTGTATATTTATTTGATGCAAAAACTGGGTTTTCAAGTTTTGTTCTTTTCCAATCTAGATAACTCCTGGGATTTGGAAATTTATAGAGTAGAGTAGATGGGGAAGAGGAATAGTAATAAAAATAATAGCTAGAAAAAACATTAATAACAAACATTTTTTATTTAAAAAACATTACTATTTTTAAATTTTTTATTTATTGATTTGAGTGAGAGAAACATTAATTTGCTGTTTTGCTTACTTATGCATTCATTGGTGGATTTTTTTAAGACATATTTTTATTGATTTCACAGAGGTAGAGAGACAGAAATATTAATGAGAGAGAATCATTGATTGGCTGCCTCCTGCATGCCCCCTACTGGAGCCCTTTAGGTGGCCATGTGGTCTGACTGGGAATTAGACCATGACCTCCTGGTTAATAGGTGGATGCTTAACCACTGGTACGCACCAGCTGGGTGGGTTGATTCTTTTATGTGCTTTTACCAGCGATCAAATTGGCAACCCTGGCAGATGGGGACAATGCTCTAACCAACTGAACTATCCATCCAGAGCTTTTGGAACATTTTTTGAATTCCTGTTCTATGTGAGAGCGAGCGCACACATTTTGCCCACGCCGGTGGCTCAGCTGGTTGAAGCATTGTCCCGTACATCAAGAGGTTTTGGGTTCAATCCCTGCTCTGCGTGTGTATGGGAGGCAACTGATTGATGTCTGTCTGTCTGTCTCAAAAATCAATAAATATATCCTTGGGTGAAGATTAATAAAAATAAAAAAAACTGTTGGAAGGATTTAGACAAATCATCTCAGGAAGATCTTGAGTGAACAGAGAGCACTTTGCTGTACTATAATTATTGTCAGACTGTATTGCTACTAGTACTTCTTCAGTTAACTCATTGATCAAAATTGACAACTCTCTTTTTTAAAAGAAATATATTTTACTGATTTTGGAAAGGAAGGGCAATGCAAAGAGAGAGAGAAACATCAATGATGAAAGAGAATCATTGATCGGCTGCCTCCTGCACACCCCACAGTGGGGATCAAGCTGGTAACCCAAGCAGTTGCCCTGACTGGGAACTGAACTGTGACCTCCTGGTTCACCAGAATCGAACCATGACTTCCTGGTCCATAGGCTGATGCTCAACCCCTGAGCCACACTGGCTGGGCCAAAATTGGATAACTTTTAACATAGAAGTGGTGAGCCCAGAATGCACAGAACCACGGTTCCCTACCCTTCTAGCCTGACTGCCGAGAGGGCTGCGCAGTTTGTGAGGTGAGGGTCCTGAGAAGCTGAAGATCTACCTTCACACTGAGCATTGCCTCCACCTGCTATGGTTTTATGTAAGTGTATATGGATATTTTGTAATTAATAAACTTCACAGTCAAAAGTTGACTAAATAATTAGTGCCTACAAGGTTTGCATTTTCTCAGGGAACAGATACTAAAAGGATCACTTCTTATTGTGTGTTAGTTTAGCTTTTTTCTTTTTTTTCTTCTTTTTGGTGTTAAAAAGGGTCTATATATTGGGATAAATAAGAAATGATAGTCTTGGTAACTAGCACCCCACATAGCTAACACGTATTTGAATTGACAAATTGCTAGCTACCTTTTTTAGGAGACAGGAGAAAGGAAGAGAGGGAGAAAGTATAAAAATATTTATACTGTGGCCTATATTAACAATGCTGTATAATTGGGATTGGTGTGAAGTAATACGGATTGTATGTTGTCCCTCCCCCAATATAAGGATAAATGAAACAACATAAAGAACCCATGCTATTTTTGCATGTGTATTTTAATTCTTTTTTAAATTTTGGATCCTCTTAAGCGAAGAGAAAAAGGGCGTATGATAATAATGCGTGGTTGCAGAAAGCAAAAGGAGAAGCCTGGAAGAATTAGGAGAAAAAAAAAAAAAAATAGGGCTGGGAGATGAAGAGAGAAGGAAATAAAGGATATTCAGTGGAAGATGATGTAGGACTAAGGTGTCTTTTATTTGCTCTTATGTTGAATGTGCTTTTGTCCATGTCTCTATGGTGAAGTAAGTAGTCTTGTGAAGAGTCAGATTTTATAGAAGGGTCTGCATTGTACTCTTCTCCTCCCTACTCCAGCTTGAAGGGTAGGACAGTTACTGATAATGGCTTTCACGTTTTCCAACCCCCACTCTGCCTCTGTTGGCTTTATTTCTTAGTTTGTAGGATAACATATTTGAGTTGTTTGTATTTTTCCTGAGTGGTGAGATGACAGTGGCTGATTATGTTGTCTTCTCTTCTTATGCTTTTTTAAAATTTAACTTTTAGTAATCTTTTTCCGTACACAAAATTCCTGGGTCCCTAGCTAGGGTCCCTAGCAGCTACCGCGGGGGCCTCCCTTCCCTGGCTGCCGGCCAGGGCCTTCCTTCTTTCATTCCAAGC